AGTGTTATTGCGACTGTGTTTTATATCCCTGTTCAGGATGATTTCTAATGATAATGCTCTGTCTACCTCACTGCTTCCACTGCGGTCTACAAGAAATATAAACTCCCCCTGGGCTTTCCTGAGGTCTGGCTGGATGTTCCTCAGGTTGGGGCAGAAGTTCAGCATGATCACAGGGTGGTGAGGAAGGTCCTTGTGCAGCCGTTTCCTGATGATTTCCGTCTGCAACACAGAAGACGAGCTCTTTAGAGGGAACGTGCCAGCATCCCTGCCTGTCAAACCTCTCCAGATTACTTCCCCTTCCCCCTGACTCCTTGTCCCTCTAGGATTGAATCGGAACAGCGTTAGGTGACACCACAGTAAAAGTGCCCCAGACTTCAAGCCCTATGAAACAGCCTGTGAGGAACTACATATCTGATTTCTGTCAGTGGACAGCACCCAGGGCAAATGCTGGGCACTTGGCTGGGATGGTTTAGTGACCTTACCTTGAGCAGGAGGCTGGACTAGATGACCTTGAGAGGTCCTTTCCAGCCCTGCCTTCCTATGAACCTATGATCCCATGAAACCAGTGAAGATAACACCAGGTAGGGAGTACATGAATGCACAAGAAAGGCAGCTACAAGTGTGAATAAGCATCTCCCCACAACAGATCACTAAACAGTCTCTTAATTCAGCCTCACAAGAGCAGGTAGGTTGGTGTTATGATCATTCCCATTTTACAGCTGGGTAAACCGAGGCAAAGAGTCATTAGTGACTTCTCCCTCGTCACTAAGCTTCAGAGCTGGAATCAAATCTCAGGGGATGGTAGGTTATATTTTAATGTGATGCAATGGCTGGTTCTGTTAACTTCTTCTGTTCTGCTTTTTCCTACCCATTCTTGTTATCATATTTTATTGCCTAAATCAAAAAGCCTATAAAATAATCTGACCCACCATTCAAGATATAATTACAATAGCATCTGGCATGATACATAGTTTCTTTATGGCCCGTTATATCTCAAATTTAATGGGTTTCTGCACTTTGTTTAATATTACTTGATGTATTGATCCTCACTAAAAAGATCTATAAAATTAAATGAAAAAAAAAATCCAGTGATGGTTTTATAATCTCCTCTGTGATGACTGCAAAAGGCAGCCCTTGACAGATCACCTCCTCTGGAGTGAAATCATAGCCTCCTCACTCCTTATGGTGCCGCACTGACTGTATCAGCAGAGACTCTGGCCCCTTGTTTCCAGTTATGCAATATTGAAACATGCTCTGAAGCAAACACTTTGATTGTTGTCAGTTCATAAATAAGGCTACTGATGCTCTCTGATTGCAGGAGAAGTTATGAAGACCTTTGCTCAAATAACTGGACTCGTTTTAGACAGCCGGTGGGTCTTTCATTCCCAGAGCCTGCTATAAATTAATTACTAATCCTTTTTTTCCCATATTGGCCTGAGCATAATGCTGACACCTTCCCTCACCCAAGGAACAATTTGGATTGATCTGCACATGCAGGCTCCATTTCACAGCTACCCAGGCAGAAATTTTCTCACCAGCCACCTGTGGAAATGTATACTATATTTAAAGGAATAAGCTGAGTACCCTGCAGGTACATTAGCCAAGATAAAATGACCAGAACTATTGGCTCTCATGCTTCAGGGCATACATTAATCCATCACTGCCTGGGGGTGGGGGTTAGGAAGGCCTTCGCCTGCCTTCATGTAATGCTACTTTTTTTTAATACCTTCCTCAAGGTTCCAGCAATGATCTCTGTCAGAAGATCAGACAAAATGGATCATCATTCAGATTCAGGAGGGTAATTGCCACGTAACTTCATATAGATTATCGTAGCACTTCCTTTGATCAACATCAAAGGCCTAACCCTCTGTGTTCCTCAGCCCCTCCTGGGAAAGCACCTCTTTTGCTGAGTATTTCTATGGCCCTCTTCTCCCTAGTATCTGAATATGTTGCAGTGGGTTATGCTATTTATCTCACGGTTCCCTGTGATGGAGAATGTAGCATCCCCATTCTACAAATGACGAATTTAGGAGCAGGGTAGAGTAAGTGACTTGCCCTAAGTTACATGCCGGGGCAGTGGTAGGAACTGAATCAGGTCTAGATCTAAGTCTATGGCCTAAGCACTGGTTTATCCTAGAGTGGAGGATGCCAGCACTTTCCAGGAGGTGCTGAGAACCTCACAAGGCTGAAAGGTCCACACATGATCAGGGCCTGATCCCACTAAGGTCCAAATGCACAGGACTCCCATTTGCCTTCAGAGGGAGATGTGTAAAGAAGCCTTTGTGCAGTCAGAGCTGTTGTGGCTCAGCTAGGGAAGAAAGCATTTCATTTGCCCCCTACCTTCCGCCTCCCCCTACACCATTATCCAGTTATAATAAACTAATCAGATCTCGTCAGCTGCCAACTGATTCCAGGAGCACATTTGTCCCCATAATCTTGCTAGCTAATGAGCACTCAAATTATCTGCATAACAAACTGAAGAAGGGAAATGAATTATCATGCACCACTGAAATTTTGGAGCTAATTCGTTTAAGCCAAGAGGTGATCAACGTCATGCTCTCAGCAGCAGCAATCCTAGCCTGTAATCTACCCTGGACACCTTTGTCAATGGCTCCTGTGTGAGGGACTAAGTCATGTTCTCAGAGTCTGAGGAGCCCAGCATAGTCATGCCTCTGTCACAGTACCAGCCACACTCAGCTGCTATGTTCTCAGCGTGAATGCTCCCCCAGTCCCTCCTGGTCCCGGGGGCAGAATTTAGATTTGAAAACAGGCCTGGAATTATACCCACCAGATAATTTGACAGCTTTAAGACACAGAATAATTAGTCAGGCTTCAAAGCCATAGGGTGGGACATTCATATCCTTCCACCTGCTGCACTCAGAAGGCAATTAAAGAAGAAGCCTGCAGTGTAATATAAATGAGGTTCTCATGCTTGCCTCTAATTGTGAAGGAGAGAAAAGACTTCACTCCAAAAATTTGTCAACATGTTTCAAATGTAATGAAAAATCATCACAACAACAACCCAGAGAGCTGCCTTTGTGATAGCCTGAGGAGGCCCAGGAAGTGTGTGGTAGTCTGTAGACCACAGCATGGGCGTGGGAGGTAGGATTAAGAGCATAAGTGATGCTATACTGGGTCAGACCACAGGTCCCCTACCCTGGTTAATTGCTGCGTTCTTGTGCTAGGGCTCGTGATATCTCATTTGGTGACCAGGTCACTGAGGCTAAAATGATTGATGGGGGGGCATTGATGCATGTGTGAGTTCAGGCCACTCAGACTGCTCTGCAGAAACACCAAGCACTCAAAATCCCACCCACTGCCAGCTTCACAGATAACTTGTGTGTGACACTACAGACCTGTGCATTTAAATCAGGAAACTGGCTGTGTTCTGGATTGTAAGTCTCTATCCACACATGTCAGTACCCAACTGGCATGTGTACTTTTGATTAAGCCCTTAGCAGTCCCGCCCACTCCAAAAAAGCTCTAGTCTAAAGTCTTTTGTATCAATATCGACCACACGGATGAGGTAATTGAAGAGAAGTTCATCCACCATTTCAAATTTTCTGGAATATTTGCCAAAAATCCTGCTATGAATATTTCTTATTCATTAGTCAATGGAATAAGCATTCATTCCCATCCCGTTGCCCTTCTGCCTGGCTAAAGATTCCCAGTCAAGGGGAACAAGCTCAATGGGAGAGTTTGTTTCAGACATGCTACTTTCAACAGCACCCAAGAGGCATGGTGGCAAATATTACATCTGGCCATTCCCCAGCCTGAATTACCAGGTACCCATTTATAGCTGGGAGCAGCCTCTGGCATTGCTCTTATGTAAGGCTTGGCCTCATCACTCAGAAGCCAGGTCAGGGGTCCCTAACCACTCCATAAGCATGGCCCAATAACAAACCCAAGTAACAGCACTTATATAATTAGGCCTTTACTACAGGTACCTGATATAGGACATATTTATTTAGCATCCAACTTCTCCTACTGTATTATTCCAAATTATTATGGTCACTGTTGCAAATAATAGATTTAATACTATATCATGTTAATTCCCTGCAGAATGAACCATGGAACTACAGTTACATATGAGTGTATAATCTACCATCCCACATCAGACCCATAGTCTCTGCTGTACAGCATCCTGCCTCTGAAATGAGGTTTATGGCTGGGGAGAAAATTCTTCACTGCTCCTTGTTTAACTAACCATGGGAGAAATTCAGTGAAGGACTTACTGCCCGTAGTCATTAGAACTGTATTATGCATGTAATGTATAACTGGATATATTCTGCTATTAGTACTAATTATACTACTTATAACAATGATAATAAACTTGGGTAGTACAATTTACCTTGTACTGATAAATCAATATGTACTTACCCAACCCAGGCCCTTGCGACAGACTCCCAAGTGCAGTCAACATTTATTTACCGCTAAAAGCTCTGTTTTCTTATATCTAAATCTTCCCCAGTTGCCAGCCAGAAGCCCATCTCAGGAGCAGGATACTACACTGTGGGGATTTCTGGGACGTAATACAACAAGTAAACTAAAAATCAATCATTTGCTGAATTAAACCCCAGCTAAGGGTAAAAGTCCGTTCTCTCCTCACCTTCTTTTCTGCACTGGGGTCCTTCTTTGTCCCTTTAATAAAATCATTTCTTCCCTTCAGGTGTTGTTCATACTCTGCAGGGGTCATGTCACCTTCTTCCATCAAGATATGAGGCATATGGGGTTCTAGAAGAGAAGGAGCAAAGGGCACGTTTAGACTTCTGGTTTGGGAGGCACAGAGGGGCACAGAATTGGGAAGACACTGCCTTCAAACTGGCTCCAGAGGACAGTGGCCCACACTTCCAGGTGAACAATTTAGTTCACATACAGGCCTAGAAATTACTACCTGAAAAGTGCCAAGACCCACCAACTCCCCTTACTTCCAGGACAATGGGAAAGGACCCCTTGAAAGGGAACGGATGGCTGGCAGATGGCATGGCCCACCTACCGCTTGGATGGATTAGTATTTCCACTGGTCTGTCAAAAGTGTGTCTGTTGGCTAGCGTGATCATGATGCTCTTGGCAGAGCGGGCAGAGGGATCAGCATCTGCCCGGATCTCATGCGTTGGGCTTTCAACACCTGCATGGGAAAGACGGAGGTCAGGTGGGAGCAGCACTGGCAGGAGATCTGTGGAGAAGCTATTCGTGGAGCTGGATGAGGGGAGCTGGGCTTCAGGAGACGAGAGTGAGAGTGAGGAGACATGGGGTGGCTTCCCTACCCAGCAATAAGCTGCACTCACCCATCCCTGCTCCATCAGTGTCAACTCCAAGAATGTAGCATAGAGGACACCCTGGGGAAACCTGAAGCCACCGCTCATGAGCACACTGGAAACCCAGGGCTTGAGCAGGTGCCAGGAGCATCCTCAGTGCCTCCTTTTTGGCACTGGTGTGCCAGAGTGGGAGCAAGTGAGCAGGGCTTATTGCCTCGGAGACATGACTGAGCACTCTGTGGCCCCTGCGTAGTATACTAAGGGAGGAATGAGGGGCGGGGGTATAAAGGAACTGGGAGGGGTGTGTAAGGACCTGTGTGTACCAGCACACCTGGTATTCTGTCCACACTGTGCACCCCATGTCACCTCTTGCCAGCTCAGTGCAATGAAGCCATATTTGCAGAAAAGCAACCGTGAGAAGAAATCACTGTTCTTCAGCACTGCAGGTGTTAGGCAGGCAGCTGGCTGAGGGAACCCTGCCCAGCTGGAACAGGGGTGTTCCCTTAGTGCAGGGAGGGAGAGCCCTTGGTGGTAGTTCCAAGCAGGCCTGGCTTCAGGTCCTAGCACTCTCACCTGCGAGCAAGCAGGGCCCCCGGATCTCCAGGTGGAAGCTGAACTCGTACTCGTTGGGGTTGGATGCCTCACTTTCCAGTAGCCGGGCCAGACACAGCTTGTGCCCTTGATCCAGGCCCCCAGCTCCAGAGTTATGCCTGTCTCTGTGAGGAGATGAGACTGTGTGAAAGTGGCACCCCTTGGACTTGCCCTCTCTGCTGCACTGCAAACATGCTATGGAGTCTGAGGGCAAAGCAAATCAGTCACTCTCTCAGCTCCTAATGCAGCTCAAGCTTGTTTTTATGCAGCAACCTGAGCTTCAGTTCATAGCTCTCAGCTCAATGCCATCCCCAGGGGCATGTCGCCTTCTGGGGAGCTCAGGAGAGGATGAAGAAACAGCCAGGTGGGCACTAAGCAAGAGAGCCAGACAGAGCCAAAGGCAATGGGAAGGGAAATCATACATGAAAGGGAGAGATGGACAGAAAATGGCCAGGAAGGGGGTTAAAGAGTAATGGCTATGTCAGGACAGGACCCAGGGGGTGAGTGGGAGGCACCTCAGAGGAGAAGTGGGGTGTAGTAAGGCACACCAAGCCACCGGTCAGCTGCAAGGAGGCTTCTAACAAGAGAAGATGGGAGGTGTATTGACATTTGTAGAGGCAATGGCCTTCCACGCTCTGTTGGTCCGTGGCCTGGCCTTTGTACTCCTAATAGCTTGGAAGAAATTCAGGCCTAAACAAGCAGGCAGGTAAAGCTCTGTAGTTAGAGAAGTGATGGGAAAGGGGCAATCTCAGAGGATGCTGCTGAAGGAAACAGGACTGTACAGGCCTTTCTTTGGCACCCCTCACCACAGTGCCTGGGCTATACCCAAAACCCTCTGGCTTCTTTGCATGGTCCCTTACACTCGGAGCTGATGTCCAGAGAGGCTGGCAGAGTTCTCCATGTTTGTCTGGGGGACACTGGGCACGCACACAGCTGGGAGAAGAACCCTCACTGCCCCGCTAGGCAGTGTCTGAAGCTCCGAGGAGGTGCTGATGAAGATGGAGATACTTTCCAGTGGAGGGATCATGCCCAGGTTAACCACAAAAAGGATCCTTTCCAAGTCCTCATCCAGCACAAGCCTTCCTGCACAGAGAGAAGGTCACACAGAGGAAATGCACTGGATACCTGCCAGGGGAGACACTCTTCCCCGCCAAGGTGACCTTGTCTGGGTCTCTCTCCTCCCTCAACAGTCTTTGGAAGTTGTTAGACAATACCCAGCAGCATCCCAGTTCAATCGGGTACGTTGCCAAGACATTCAGTCATAACTGGTTGGGACTAAGATCTGCTTTCACCTTTCTTTGTAGCTCCAAAAAATGCCTGATCCAAAGTCCACTACAGTCAATGAGAGTCTTTCTAGGTCCCTTTATTTGAGCTTCCCCCTAATCATACCCTGTACACTCTCCCTTTCAGCATCCACTCTCTGCCACTGTGTGACACAGGAGACTGGGCAAGATGGACCTATGGTCTCATCCATAACAATGGCAGTTCTTATGTACTAAGTCATGTAGCCTTCAGAAACAGATGGACTTTCAGGCATACACCATATGAAGAATGAAATGACCCAGCATCAGCCCTCTGGTCTATGCCCTCCTGATGCCATGTCATGAGCAAACCTGGCTGATGGCTCCACTGAGATTCCCCTATATCACTAAAACACTGAGCCCCTGCTTACCGCTTCCATCTGGAGTCCTCCCATTGGAGACGTTGCTGCAGTCGAAGTAAGAGTCATCCATTTTGGCTTTGTCTTTGATCTGCACTGTCACAGCACGTCTGGACACAACAGCTTCAAACCCAACCACCGTGGTGTACTCATCCAGTGGGTACACAAAGAGACCTGCCAGTGGGAGGAGACACAGCATTAAGGGTTCCTTTCTCTGGCAGGAGCCAGCACTGGGGGTGGAGAAAACCCTAGGCCTATAAAAAATGACATTATGGGCTTGGTTCTCAGGTCCAGCACTTTTGCAATTGAAAGGGACAAGCAAATGCCCAGATCCCCACCTGAGAAGTCATCTGATCTGATTCCTGGGATAGAGCTCATCTGGCATAAAGCTGGTGCCTGTTTCGCAGATTCTCAGCAGTGCAGCCCTTGGGGATGAAAGGCAGTGTCTGGAAATTAGAAGAGTCCTTAGGCTTCTCCAGCTTATCCTAGCAAAAGGGACCTGGGCTGGAGCTGTTGCATCTTGAGGACTAGCTTCCCAATGGCTCCCAAATAGTTCCCACTGCACAAGAAAATCTGGACCAGAGGGGGTATTACAGGGAAACATCTAAGGAGGACTCAGAAGATAAAACCAGTGCCAGGAGTTACCCTTCTCCCATAGTGACCCTGGCACCTGGGGAATACAGCCTTTACTCTCTGGACAATGGGACCTCCTTTGGGAACTTACCTTCAAAAGGATGGGCCTCTGGGTTGCCATAGGTCAGAGAGGCTGTCATCCCAAAGGCATAGCCACTGACGCATGAGGTGACCTCGGAGGCTGTGAGTGGAAGCGGGCAGCTGGTTATCCGGTTGATAAGGCCAGGCATCTTGCTTAGAGTCTGTGAGTGGCTCAAGTGTCAGGACCTGCAGCAAACTGGAGACAGGAGGAAGGACATGAGCAACATGAAAGAGCCCTGACAGCTGGAATCCCATATTCCCATCACCTCACATTCACTTCTGCAGCTCTGGGGTTGGCTGCAGAGCTACAGCTTGGATTTCCTATTGCCCAGCTACTTGGAGGCATCAGCTATCTTGGACCTCTTATCTCCTCATTCCCTGCAGTGCCCACAGCCTCACCAAGGGCTTTCAAGATACTTGGATATTCCAGAAAACTGTTGGCAGTGCAGCCTGTATCTCAGCATGGGCGTGGACTCAGTTTCTAGCAGAACGCGGAATTGGAGAGATCTCTGGGCTGAACAAAAGAATCCAGTTGGCAAGCACTGGTTATAGCTTCCTCCCACCGACCCGCTTTCTTTCCTCTCCCTTCATAGTACAGCAGCACAGAGTGGGACAGGTGCTAGTGAGATGCAACCACACCGCCCTTCTGTCCAAAGCTGCACCTACATCCATGGAAGGGCAAATAGGTGGATGACTGGGTTTGATTGGCATGAGTATCTCCATCCTTTGCTTTCCCAAAGCAGGCATTCATCCTACCAATCTGGGGGAAAGCACCAAGAGAGACAGACAATGGCTCTGTGAGGATCTGCTTCGGCCAGGAGGAAGAATTAATTCCTACTTGACAAGGGAGAATGAATGTCCTCGCCAGGGAAGAAAAGGTGAGGCAGCCCAGATCAGTAACGCATTTTAAGACCGTAATGATGGAAAGATGCTGTATGAATACAAGGTATTCTGCCCACTACCTAGGAATGCCTTGGAGCTAAATCTGACTGAAGGATAAAGCCTGAACGAAGCAATGCACTGATATTTCACCATGAGGCTTAAATTGCCCTCCATTGTATCAGTTTGTTTTAACTGGTATTTAGCTTAACCTGTGTCTGCTTCTTTCCCAGACAAAGCTTGTTCAACATCTCGCCCCACTATACAATTGATCTAATCGAAGATATCACCAAAAGTCCTTGCATCTTACAAAATGATAGACAGACAGATATTCTTGTCCACCTAGAGTATCTCTGCCTCTTAGCAGACACCACCGCAACACTGGCCGTATTAATTCATCTCTTTACTGTTGTTGCATTTCAGGAAATTGGAATGCCGCCCCCCCACCCCAGCCCCCCAAACCCTCAGCTCCAATGTCCTGCGTCTCCACTTCCCTCTTGCAAAGTATGACTCACTTTAATAACTCCTTAAGAGAGCTGCTCATATTTTAAGGAGTTGCCTCTACTCGTTCTGTTAATTAAATTTCCCTTGCAACTCTGCTCCCTCCTAACCTGTTTTCTGTTCTAGCTAATCTTCTCCCAGCCTGACTGGCAGATGCATTCAGGTAAGGGCCTTGCAGGGGGTTTCTGTCCTCAGCCATCTCCCAAGGGTTCCCAGGGGTATCTTCTGTCTAGCTGCTCCTCTGCTGGCTCTGGATGCTTTAAACCAGACTTTACAAGATCTATAAGGTGGGGGAAGCAATGAAAAACATCAGCTGTCTCTCATTTCCTGGCAGTCCTGTGTTATTAAAACCACCTCGAAATGCAAATGTCCTAGAAAGGGCACACAACAGTCATCAAGACTCATTCCTTGCTGTGGAAAAGCAGCAGCAGCAGCCGATCAACTTAAGAGGCTAAAACAAGTCAGCGAAGTGAGAAGGGCCAGCAAAGACTATAAGAGGGAGGAACAGAACCTAAGGGTCCAGTGAGGCTGGGAGTCAGGGCCAGTGGGTATGGGATCCCAAGGGCTGCTGGGACTTTAACAAGACTGGATAATAGCTATGAATGAAGGACAGCAGAAGTCTGAAACACAATGAACTAATAATAATGTTTTGCAGTTCCAGGACATCTTGCACTTGAGGATCTCTGTGTCAGTCATTCCTGCTGAAGCCTCTCAGCCTTCATCAGATACAGTGACAGATAGGAACAGAGATGTGTCCAAAGGGAGCTTGTGGCAGATCTGGGAATAAAATTCAGTGCTGGCTGCCAGTCCCCTGCTCTAGGCAAAAAGACTCACACTTTGTTTGCAAAACTCATCACAGGAGGGTTAGATGCTCCAACATTGACAGATCTGTCTCCAGTCTAATGGCCCATGGGACCGGTCTCATTTAAGCACTTGATCCAACAACACAAGTGACTTGGGAGCTCAGCTGGGGAACAGCCCCACACAGGAACCACTGAACAGGGTCTCTGCTTGGGAAAGAAAACTTTGTTCATATCTGTGCCTCTGACAGGCAGAAAGAGACCACAAAAAGCCAATGACATGCATGTAAAGAAACCCACAGGACAAGGTGTTGGATGCTTAGCAGGACTAGGCAGCTGATATATCTAGCTAGTTTACCCTATTGCCTTTCAAAGTAGTGATGACACCACAAGCCAGACAGTCTGAGAAACCCAGGCTCCTCCAAACAATAAATCTGGAGTCTGGCAGGATTGCGAATGGAGTCCCACTACACAGAGAGATCATGAGCATAAATGAGCCATTGAGACAGAGCATCTCCAGCCAGCAAAGCCCATCATGACTTTGGGAAGTGGTAGAAATGCCGGATGGGAAAGAAGGAGGCTGAATGCCATGACCAAGGAAAATAAGATCTGAAAGGGAAAAAAGAGAGGACAGGAGGAGGAAGATTGAAGAGAGGAACGGGGGAGCCAACTGAGCCAGTCTGGCAGCCTGATGCGGTATCGCTGTTATGCCACGCAGGGTCAGTGAGGTGAGAACCAAGCCCCTGGTCTCCACTTCTCTGCTCTGGAGGAAGTTGAGGATCTCTTCCTGGGATGACCAGCCATAGGATAGGCAGCCAGGCCATCTCTGGCTGCACAGCCCAGGCTGAGATGCAGGGAACAGCAAAGACTTCAAAGGCAACACAGGCTGTGTTTGAGACCCAAGGGCAGCTCTCGGGGGAGATTGCTCATCCTCACCAAGGAAGGGCCAGACAGAGGACAAGAGACAATGATGAGCTTCAGAGACAAGATGATTTATAGCAGCCACATAAATAACATCTCAAAGTGCCATGGTTTGCTGACTCACAGCCTCTGCTAGTGATGGGAAAAGCAGTCTGGCCAGAGGGGCGGTAAATGAGGGTCTGCAGGGAAGATCATCCCCAATTAGCTCTCACCTCACCGAGACAGGACAGCTGTGGGGCCTCCAGCTGGTAGAGGAAGCATGTCTATGCCCAGTGAGAGGGTTGGCAACCACTTTTGTTACAACCTACAGGAGTTCCTAGAGGGCCCATGTAAAGCCAGAGCCCTGCTGAGCTGGGTACTTCTGAGCCCTACAAGAGTAAGAGAGAGGAAAAATTATCAAGAAGAACTATCACAGTGCAGTTATGGCAGAACAGGGCCAAAAGTTTCCTCAGGCCCATGGCAGTGCTTAACCACAGCCTTTTCTCTCCAAACTGAAGGGAGAAGAGAAAGAGAAGACGGGGACAACCAAGCTCCAGCACTGGAAGTGGCCACTTCTCCCTTCTGCCCCTTCACATGCCTCGTCCTCAGCATGGAAAGGTTTTGAGGCCACATCTCTCTTCTCAGACCTTTTCCTGGTGGGATTTATAAGCCAACCTCACTCTTTATCACTGCGGGACCTCTACTCCCTGATTCCATCACAGCGGCTATGCTCCCACCCATTGCTTTGTCCTCGACAAGAACTCGGCAAAGCAGACAAGGACTTCTTGTCCCAGAACACAGAGCAGTGCAAAGCATGCCTCGGCTCATTCACAGTCGGGTGGGCGCCAGCAACAGCCTTCCCATGAACAGATTCAGAACGGTACCTGCCATGAGTCACTCTCAAACAGCCTCCGTTTCATTAGGCTTCTCCTGGTGGCCCATCCCTACTGCCTACCCTCCCCTGCCTGTGTGTGAAGCCAGGAGCTGCAGTAGGCTCTGCCCTTCCAGGGTGCCAGCCCCCTTCATCACCCTTGACAGAATGCAGCCATGAATAATTTCCACTTTTTCAGTGTAGCAGGGCTCGAAGCACCGGGGACGGCTTCTAGCAAAGCACAACCCAGGACTTTGGGAAAGCAAAAAGCGACGGTGCTTTCTTCACACACATGCAACACCACTGCCTCCCACCCTGGCACAGAATGCAACCCATGGAGACTCTTTATGGCAGAGACCTACAGAGCCAGGGAGAGCCACTAGGTCTGTTGGCATCCAGCAGTCTCACTAGAGCAGGGGTCAGCAACCCCCAGCACACATGCCAAGCATGGCACGCAAGGCCATTTTGCTCAGCACACCACTGCCAGCCCGGGCTCTAAGCAGCTGCTGCCAGCAACAGAGCCCAGGCTGCTGCCAGCAGGCGGCTGGGAGGCTGCAAGCAGACTGGGTTCTGTGGGCCGGTTGCAGCTGGGAGGCTGCAAACAGCTGCTCTGGGCTCCGGTGTGTTAGCACTCCAGCACCTTCCAAGGTAGATATTGTGGGGTTTTTTGGCACTTCGGCCAAAAAATGATGCCTAGCCCTGCACTAGAGAATCCCCTTTCTATTTATTCCACCTGGGGCTCTGACACTTCATCAGCAGTAATGGGCCATGCAGTTTTGCTCCTGTGATTGCTAGATACAAATATGCTAGCACTTAGATTTGATCATCACATGTTGCCAACCTGCATTTCCCCCACTTCCCTTGAGCCACTCAAGACCCCGCCTATGCCCCCAGTGTCAAACCCTCCGGTCCATACAGTCCCTGGGCTATCTCAGCATGTCACTCGGAGGATGTAGTCACCATAAAGAAGCTGGGAGCCTGCTGGAGGGCTGTGGGAAGAACTGGGGACAATGAGAAAGTTGAAAAGAGGTAACAGAGGCAGCCAAGGATGTATTGGAAGAACTCTGGGGATGCAGCCCTGGAGAAACTAGGACCAGCTGTGGGTGTTCATTCAGTCCAAGCCTTTAAAAACACTGAGATTTCTCTACCTGCTGCTGTGCTCTGGCATGTTTTTATCTCAAGTCTGCATAGAGCTATTGGTTTTCCTGGGCTTTCCTAGACATTTAAAACTCTCCTTGGTGGAAA